TGACTAAAAAAGCAGTGGCCTAGAGACCTGCTAAAATAAAAATAAAAATAAAAAAACAAAAAAATAAAAACCCACGACATCTAAAATGTTCTCGGTCGGGTGGTGCTGCTGAGTGCCTAAATTCTGCTATTTCATATTATATTAATTATCAAATTTGCCCATTGTACAGTTGCATAGATTGTAAATTACTTAAATATACAAATAAAAAAAAAAAGTATACTTAATATAGTTCAACTAATTAAAATGTATTTATTTAAGTCCACAATTTGATAGATATTATATTGTCATGCGACATGCGACTTACGAGTTATGTAAGACATATGTAATCAGCCCAATCATTGCAGGTTTCAAACATTTAAWWAGTTTTAAATTTTAAATTTTAGTCATAATTTTTTCGTGTTTGTGTTTATTAGCGACGAGTACAGTACGATCCACAAGCGAGGTCAGAATTTCTCCCAAGACTGAAATTGTCTTCCGACACACATACTATTTTTTGTCACACCTCAGCGTTGGCCGATCATCACCGTAAATGTAATGCAGGAATCTATCTCATTTGCAACAACCAGACTTCTTCACGAAAACAATTTCGTGAAAGAAAAATGTCAAATACACGACATTTTTATTTATTTTAATTAGAATCACTCCACACTCGTTTCAAAACAACAAAACTAACAGTCTTTGTATACTTTCAGGAAATAGTTGTAAATTCAAATAAATATTATWTAAATAAAAAAAAAATTAAATGATAAATAATAAGATCAAAATATATATAAAGCATAGGTAAAAATAAGAAATGTCTAGGGTGGCGGACTTGGACGGCCGGAGAAGAAAAATACCGGAGATATATACTATGTATATATAAATAGCTGTATGGGGATACAGCGGGCCAATCCCGCGTATCCCTATCCAAAGTTGCTATAGATCTGTAAAGTCATAACAGGATAGCGATATTCGCATACACCAGAGAGCTGGGGAAGGGGTATCTCCAAACTGTTATTACTACTCCTATTATATGTATATATTTATCTTTCTGTAAATAAACGATGCTGCATGGGGGCTTAGCAATATGAAAACAGTACGGCCTCCGTGTA